TATACTATTAATTTACGTCAACGCTACACTGTATGATTTGACTTTTGATTGAGCAAATGGACAGAAATAGAAATTGAGTTTCCGTTCTTTCAAATATGGGTAAGACCCATTACAGATGATCCGAATACAAATTGTAGTATTGTCATAATTAACCTGTTTTTATAGCGAGCCATAGTATACTATTAATTTACGTCAACGCTACACTGTATGATTTGACTTTTGATTGAGCAAATGGACAGAAACAGAAATTGAGTTTCCGTTCTTTCAAATATGGGTACGACCCATTACAGATGATCCGAATACAAATTGTAGTTTTATCATAATTAACCTGTTTTTATAGCGAGCCATAGTATACTATTAATTTACGTCAACGCTACACTGTATGATTTGACTTTTGATTGAGCAAATGGACAGAAATAGAAGTTGAGTTTCCGTTCTTTCAAATATGGGTACAACCCATTACAGATGATCCAAATACAATTATCGTAATTAACCTGTTTTTATAGCGAGCCATAGTATACTATGACGGTTTTCAATCAAACTTTGACATTACAAGGTTAATTGTTTTTAAACAAGCGCAATTAATCAAACAATAGTTATCAGCGGACCAACAACAAATAAATATGCAGAGACGCTCTAGATGTAAGATAGTTGTGCTCAAATACATATTGTTATGTGTTTGATTAACGTCACTGATAGATACATCATCAATTTTGAGGCATCCTTATTGGCTATAAGCCTTTATGATAACATTCACTATAAACGCTCTTCGGCATTGTGTGTTTCTATTACTATGGATAATAATAACAAAATAAACTTGACATGATTGGCATTGCTACTGTTCGGTTTGTCGCAATCAACGTCAAGGGCATTCCTTTATAACAAGCCCGCTGCTGTACAACCTTTTAAGCTAATTATTAGGCCATGCATGGCATAAATGTCATCATTTAAAATTAGTGCACCGCATAGACCATTACTGCCAGAAAGAGCCTTTACTCATTATAGCAATTTCTTTTGACCGTCGTTAATGCAGGATACAAAAGACCGATGCTATCAAAGGCGAGTGTCAGATTTGGTGTGCTGCGATGAAACGAGCCTCTGAAATATGGAGCTGAGTTATTCTCTTCTGGGAGGTGTTTCACAAAGATCCTAAGTCGAACTTATCTCTAAGTTGGACTTAAAAGTTATGGAAAGCCATTAGCATCCTTGAAAATATTTTGTAAAAGTTATTTTAAAAGGCATAAAATGTTGATTCAAATCATTCATATTTTCTATTATCATGGGAGATTTCATGTTCTTGATGTGGAATTTATGGAAAGTCTAAAATACTTGATTTTTCGCTTTTGAATATATTTTATTTTAAGGCTACAAATGGCTCTCCATAACTTTTAAGTTCAACTTAGAGTTAAGTTTGACTTAGAATCTTTGTGAAACACCCCCCAGGTTGTTGATCATGCTCTCTATGTCACAATAGGTTATTTCTTGAAAGTGTTTCGATCGATTGCCAACAGCTTCGTATCATTTCGTAATTGATGCTCATACTTAGCACAAAGGGGAACGTTTTAGCAAAAGGTCGGGTAACGCAGCAAGCCGATCCGACGCAACGACCCGATGATTCGAACCAAGCGACGGCAAACACGTATTGGTTGTTTCAGAATTTAAAAAAAGGGAAGGATCATTTGCTCTTTGGAAATTGAGAGAAAGATGGCTACGTTCAAGTGAAATCTTAAAAGCTAGGTGATTGCTATTTATACAATACATTTCCTTCAACATGGACATCGCTAATATGTCTGAGAAGTGGGTGAGTATTGATTAAAAAATACAGTCCAAAATTGTGTAATTTTCCATTTTAATTGTCGTTGATTGTTATGTCTATAAGTTTCATTCAAATAATGATGCAAGTAATGCATGGTACAAAGTGTATGACACTTAACTTAAAATTCATTAAACAAAAAGATATTTGTTTTTCTATTCCTCCCTTATCTGGTTGTGGTTAACACTGCAGAAGCGGTAATAACATTCAAGTATATTATATATTTTCCAAAGGTATGGTTTTTATATTAATATTTTGTAATCATATGTCATGATTTATATGGTTAAGAGGAGTTTGACGTCTGGTAAAGAAAAAATAAATGATAAAATGCTAGCTTTGTCATTCTTTCATATCAGTTTGCTAAAATACTACTGTAGAAAGGTCCCCTGAACAGATTTGCTCTTCCAATGCCTTCAAATTCCAAATAGTTTCTTGTACCAATTTCAAAGTCCAGTGCTTGTGATTTTTAACAAGACTGTGCTTATGTTTTTTTGGTGATTCCAAAACCTTACAATTAACATCCTATGTTCGAGTACATACTCCACCTCTCTTATAACTTCCTGACAGTTTCCCTGATAATGAATTCGCATGACCAGTACTCAACTTAATCTTGGAAGAGGTGAACGTAAATCTCCTATCAAAGCAATGTAATTGTCGTTCTTTCCTTCAGGTCCCAGTGATGACAAACACCTTCAGTTGTAAAATCGGAATTTTCTTCGTTTTCCCAATCACATTGGGGATGATCGCAGCTTGTGCCGCGCAAACCCCACCAAGATCGAGCATTGACTTGATGAAAGACATCTATCTGGAGATACCTGATGGCATCGAATGGCTCACTGAGGATACAGAAAACAAAACAAGCGCAGAAGAAGAATCGATCTCCTCCTCTACTTATATCGAGTATATACGAGGTGATTTTTACACCAAGACGACCATCATTTCAGTGGTGTTCTTCTTTATTATATTGCGTTGATAGTCAAATATATAAATAAAACATCGGGTAGTTGAAGTGAGTTATGAAGTGAGTTATGAAGGTGGCAGAGAGAAAAATGACATATCATGATTTTATTAACAATATTATTCTGCATAATTTTGTTTCTCTGCGTTATGAAAGAATTTGAAAATTCATTAAGTGTAAAGTACTAAAGGATAAACAAATATACACCTTGCAGACAATCTAGTTGTATGAAACAACTGTACGTATGTTTTTCATCGAAACATGAGCGTAGGAACACAACTTAGCCTAGTGGCTTCCATCTCTATCCGTTTCTAAAAATATTAAAACATAAATATGATTGCCCATGAACTTTTTAATATCTTTCTTATTCTTTTCTATTGTTTTTTTGTCAAACCGCAATCAACCATTTTCTTTCAACCATTTTCTTTTCCGTATTAATATCCACTAGAAACCATGAAAATATGTCTCTTTCTTGTATTTTCAGACAGAAAGAATCGCGTGACGAATGTAACTATTGGAAACCTGACGATACCAATATGCCTTGATTACCACGTGTGTCAGGGTAGAACCTGTGGCTTCTCTAACTCTGAAAGTCCGACATGTCAGTGTGATGATTTGTGCACTTTCTTTGACGACTGTTGTCCTAAATTTCTCGAGGAACGTCCGGTGGATTGCAGTATGTATGGACGTGTTAACCGGTCTCACCTTGACGTGTATGACCGAAGTTCCTTCAGCTGTGAAGAAGTAAAGGGCAGAACATATAGCCCTAAGACGTTTGTCCTCATCTCAAAGTGCCCAAGCGCTTGGAACGATAAAGTAATTCGAGAAAGATGTGAAGTTCCATACCGAATAGTGCACTTCAGTTTAGAAGACATCCCGTTGTCTTTTGATAATACAGTAAGCTACAGGAACGTATATTGTGTGATATGCAATGGACTTAATCCTCAAAAACTGACTCCATGGCCAGTAGTATTGATGTGCCCTGAAGAATTGGTTGAAGATTTGCAGGTCAATCCGCAACCGTTTGAAGATATACTAAACAACAGCCAATGCCGGCCTTCTGTAGATTACCCTGTAAATGCAAGTGGCTCTGCTGTGAGGCTGTGCTTCAAGACGGAACACCCCGAAAACTTCACAGACAAATGCAAGCCCTCATCTGATCCGCAGCTCCAAGAAGCATGTGAGTCATTGACGGCGCCAATAATTCTTCACGGGAACATGGATCCAGTCGGTTTTAAGAACCCAGCTTGTTACGCATGCTCATTCGGATCTTACCCAGATCATAGCGAAATGTGCACTTATTCGGACTTTGCGTACGACGATGCATCATTAGGCTTGGTAGATCCAAATGTCTTGAGGCTTTCTCCCGTTTCTGTTCTGTTTGATTTCTCATCTCAAAGTGACACCAGACTACAGGTAGGTGAAACGGTTGTCTCAGTGGTCACGGTCGCATGTCCTTTAGGGGAGGTTTATGATCCTTATTCTGGAGCGTGCTTGAGGCTTACTTGCCCTCAAGGTTACGCAATGATTGGGGGTGCGTGTGCCAAGGAAGAATCAGGAGTTGAAATGGCGTGTCTGTGGTGGAAACATTACTTCAATGAAACCCTTTCTTTTACCGTTATATCCAAGGATCAGGGGGTGTGTGCTGGCTATGGTCGAGATCAAACATGCGATCTTAACGAATTGGTTTCAGCATTAGAACTAACATCGTTGATTGAGTGTAAAGAAAACATCTATAACACTCAATATGAAGCACTTTTCGTTTGGAATCTAGAAAGTAATTATACTGCTCTCAAGATGGATGCGGCGATTTTAGAGTATGGTCGCAGAAACATGACAAACAGGTCTTGCAGCTTATCAACCGTGTCTATCTTCAGTCGTTGTGGTGCTTCAAATGATTGTGACATGCGCATGGTGACGGCCAACAACACCCTTAAGATGACGACAAGCGCAATTACACAGCCTAACACTGAACCCCATCTATCATCGGATTACGATGACATGAACAGAGAGGAATTCAACGTACTTGAAACCACGTATAACCTCTTTCAGAACGGACACGACAATGTAAAGACTGAATCTATGTTCGTATGTGATGGGACACACCTTGCCTGCCCGAGTGCGATATTCAATATGAGCCTCTTCATTCCATTAGGTGCACTTTTGAAGTATAAGGCATCAGGAGACATTATCTCTCCAGACGAGTACGTCTTGCTGAAGGATGGAATGATTAGAGCTTGTCAGTTTTTAAGTCAAAATGGCTCCTTTAACGAAACGACTTCCTATTACTTCCTTCGCTATTCTCCCGTACAAACATACCTTAGTTGCGCAGGAACATCCCTATCACTTGCGTCTCTCTCTTTGACCCTCTTGACCTACTTCGTTTTCCCTTCACTTCGTAAGCAGGTCAGCAACTACCTCATCATGACGCTGTGTGGGACCCTTTTCCTAGCCCAGTGTCTTCTGATGTTTGGTGGAATGGTCAGTAAGGTTTCCCGGCATCTGTGCACAGTTTTTGCTGTTGTCTCCCACTTCTCATGGCTGATGGTCTTCACTGTCTCCACGATGATCGCATTGGATCTCAGCCGGACCTTTGGGTCCCATGGAACTATAAGGATATCGACAGCAAATCGCAAACTGCTTGTAAGTTACCTATCATTCGCCACTGGAGTGCCGTTCTTGATTGTGGGCATCACTCTAACGCTAAGCAGCCTTCTTGGAGAGGACATCGGTTTGCGTTATGGTGACCAATCCTCTTGCTGGGTCGGAGATGGACGTGCCAACCTCTTTGTGTTTGGGATTCCTGTTCTTGTCTTGCTGTGTCTGAACCTGTTCCTTTTCGCGAAGACGATCCGGGGTATTGCTCGAAGCAAAAAGATCGGTATGACCCTTCACGAGGGAAAGAAGGTTTCCAGTTACGCTCAAGAACTTCTCAAGATTGCTATCAAGGTATGACTGCTATAGCTAAGAACATAATATATAAATATATTGTTTGTCGTCCAACCCTGCTTGTACTCTTATCACAATGTCATCATCCTTTATATATGATTGAAAAATCTAGGTTTTCTTTTCTAGCATTAAAGCAAATTTCCTCAGTGTAGCACAATAATGTCGGATGAGAATGGCCTTTCCATAATCCATGTTTTTTTTTATCGTCATATTAGCCTGAACAATTCAAGGAATAACATGTGAAAGAAAATGTGAATATTTGTGATAAAAAAGTTATATTCATCAGTCTCTGCCAATGGTGTTATTGTTATTTTACGATATTTAGGGGCACCAGCACAGAACCCCCTCCTCATGTTCTCCTTCTACAAACCGTAAACATGTCGACGGACCAATTAATCATTAGTTAGCTGTATTTTGCCCCCGTTTACTAGGTCTCTTCTATAATGGGATTCACGTGGCTGTTTGGCTTTGTAGCTGCCTTCAGCAAACAGGAAGCCCTCTGGTTCATCTTCATCATCCTCAACGCTTTTCAAGGTGTGTACATCTTTCTGGCTTTCACGGCTACGCGAAGAGTTTCCCACATGTGGCGGGACCTCCTGCTCAAGAAGTTATACGGCAGGCGATCCGACGTCCGATCTGACATGCGGCTGCGAGCGAAGTCAGAACCGAGCTCTGTTCAAACTCTATCTGTATAATTCATTTGATCCATTTTAAGAGATGGTGGCAGACACGTGAAGACTGTGGGTCAATGGCTGTGGAAGTTGCTTTCTAATTTGTCTTCGTGTCACTTTGTGTTTTTTGTTCGGCACTTCGCCAGGTTTGGGGTCGGTTATCGGGAATGTTTTTTTCGGGCTTGGTTTTTTTGTGGCTTTGCTGCTGTACTGTTGTATTGTTGGGAGTTCGGGGAGGGGGGGGGGGAGTGGTTGGTATTATAGCGTCTGCCATTCACATGCTATTATAACAGCCGTTCTTTTTCAGCATTTTTTTATGTCAAGGTTAATGACCAATTTTTATTATGTGTAGGGCGATTTGATGTGTGCCAGCCAAATCGGGCTGATGGGGGGGGGGGGGCTGGTCTCTTTAATCTTTTGATTTCGTTCATTGTTGGATAGCTGGTTTGGTGTTATTAATGGAGGAGTGAGTAGTGGTTTTCCTCAGAAAAGAAGTTCTTGTGTTCTTTTACTATAACTTCATTGAAAATATAATTCTCACACCAAATGACTTGTAACCACTTGATGTTGATGATTATGACAATGAAGAAGATTATAATGATTTAAAAATGGTCAAGGATAATAACAAATACAATAATAATACTTATAATGGTATTAATAATAATAATAATAATAATTATTATTATTATTGCTTATACCACGCTTTTCCCATAAGGCCCAATGCGCTAACAATGAATGAAAATCAAAATTACATAAATAAATATAATAAGAAACTTACAACTACAAACTGCAAAAAAGATGTGTGTTTAATATTAATAATAAGGATAATATTCCATTTTATATAGCGCTCAAAACATCGATCCAACGATGTGCCTAAGCGCTTTACAGATATATTATTACCCCGGTCATTAGATTCAGGCTTACCCGCACACAATGTGTGCACATTTTCATCTCCCTGGGGAGCATTCTAGCCAGTCGCCACTTTACAAGGGCACAAGGTCATTGTAGAACAAATTTTGAAATACACGGAGACGAAATACTGGATACATGCTCATGAAAATTATATAATCATTATTCATTAATTATGCACAAGCAGTGCACTCCATGATACACAGGTGGAAGTATTCTTTAGGAAGGGGAAACAAAGGCTATTTATTTAGCACCTCCATCGCTGTAGGAGTGATTATTTCAAAATGTACAAAGTGGGACCTCTTCATGTTCTGAAGATCTGTGGATATTCGGGGTCATTGCAGTAATGTGCTTACCGTGAACTGGTCTATTTAAACAGTTATCTAAATATTGTGGAGCTTGATTATTGAGTATTTTGATAGTGATAATAATAATGATAATACTAATGATATTTAAATCATTTTCTAGGCCTGACAGGTTTGCGCTGTTTTTTGTAGTTGGGGTGGCTTTTTATTTGTCTGGTAACTCAAATATCTCTTACTGAATTTGTCTTTTTGTATGAACGTATATATTTATATTTATTTATTCACATACCATATAAATACCACACATGTCCATTACTGAATAGACAATATAGATGAACCATATGAACCTCGTGGTCTGTATCCATTTTGAAAATCTATATAAACGTAAGCATTGTCGCAGTACAGAATTTAACCCCTCCCCCCCCCAAAAAAAAAAAAATCAAAAAAAAAAAATCAGTTATATACAATTATACAGTGAAAGGTACAGTGGTTTTACCAGAAATTAAAAAGAAGATGGGATGGGATGGGACATACTCTCAGGTATTTATTCAAAGTCCTCAAGAAGATGCATCCAATGTATATAAACCGATGTAAGCTTTTATTTGTTATATATCGAGTACCTTGGGTACAATTCATTTCTTATTGTTTCCTAGAAACCTGTACAATTTGATCTGCATTGTAATGTATTTGTTTATAGTCCGCTGTAAGTCTTAGCCTATACCAGTATAATCGGATAAGGTTAATGAGAATTATTGTTTCACGTTATCACTTGTGAAAGATGTATGCAGCTGGTTAGTAATGTTTACAGTTTTATAAAATTAAAAAAAAAGACAAATACAAGTAAAGAAGGCAATTATGACAAGAATGATAACCATTACGTAATTAAAAAATCTGAATCTGACTATATAAATATGTAGGAAAGCAATGGTTACTTCTCCAAAAGGTTAGGGTTAGGGGTAAAAGCATACTACCTTTAAAAAGATTACATGGGTATATATTTTAACGACATGAGACGAATCTATGTTATTTAATAATGCACTGCAATATACTTTTACCCATGTCAGTTTGTTAATGATTTTAAAGTATTTGGTGATGGACGGTGGCACATCCATAATAGCAGAAAGCGAGCTCGTATTCAATGCCCTAATGCCCATCATGTGACTTTCATTTTCCTTTCTAGCGTAGGCCTATACTCGGATTTTTGTATTAAGAAAGCAGTTATATGTGTCACCTTTTAGTGACGTTTTATTATCATATTTTAATCCAGCATGTTCTGAATTACAACTAGAACTTGGGCGGAAAGTTGAACAAATAATCTCGCGAAAATTTGAGTCCATTTTCTGTTTCAGTATACTATGCCATGTTCATGAATAAGAGGAATTACCAAAAGATCATTGAAGTCTTTTATTTGGCAACGCAGATTGGAGTTCATCATTACTATTTTTGTATACAATATGGCAATTCCCTATACATATTGGTATGATTTTTTTTCTCAATTATGAAAGAGTGGAAAAATACAATTATTATTGCCAAATGTGGGGGAAAAGACTGATTTTTTAAAATCTTGAACTGTTATGGGTTGATATATGTTATAGCTGGCCTCTACATCAGTATGATATTCTTAACAGTTTCGTAGGTTTTTCAAATCTTTCAAGAATATTCGCAGCTGTCTGACGTATTTAATGAAATGTCGTCTACCTTTTGTTTGTGTATTGCTTATTTAGCTTGCTGTGCATCGTTATATTTAGCTTGTTGTGTATTGTTATTGTTGAATAAAAATTGTAACTCACAAACTCTTGACGAAATTATTGTTATCTTTTCCAAGGTTGCTAATGATTGAGTGAATGCATGAATAAGTAAATGTTTGACTGAATAAACCCCGAAATGAATAAATAAATAAATAAACATACAATATTGAACAAATTAAATTATTTAAACAAAATGAACAAATAAATAAATAAATGAAGGAAAAAAAAGGAATAATTAAAGAATAGAGAAATTCCCCACTGCACTATACTTGCGCTCTCTACATAGCAAACAATATCTAATTGGTGACCGTTGGTCACCCATGATCACATTTTTCTTCGTTAATTGAGAGCTGATTTGATGAGATAACCACCTGTCAGTGACCTTGCAACCCCTGACTAGTGTAGACGGGCTTTAAAGGAATATTAGCAACCCTTCACAAAATCTCAATGCCTATAATTTTCTTCCTCAAGAGTGCCTCTCATAGAAAATTGTAGTCCCATGTTCTTCTTCCAATTATGACACATACTCCAAACTACCAGCAACATTCCCTTGATCACCCATACATATACATACATTATACACGAACAATTAAGACAAGGACCAACGAAATTGGATAAAGAAGTCTAAGAGATGGGTTTAATTATGCGGGTACACTCTCTGCTGGTAGTGCAGTTGTTGAAGGTACATGCTGAATCATTGTACAACTAGGTGCGCCAGGGGAGATATCGACACAGCGCCTTGCAGAGTTGAACCGCAAGTGGGTGAATTTGAAGAGAAAGGAGACGCTAGATTTATACGAAAATATTTCAGTTTTTTTTAGTCCTTCTCTGGGGGAAAATATTTCGTCTGAAGCATTACATCTCATTAAAAGTGTTGATTCAGTGCTACTATTATCGTGCCTAATTTGCACAATGTGTGTACAATTTGCATAGCTGTCATTCATCAGGGCAGTCTCATGATCTGTATCGGCTTCTAGATCAGGAAGGAGTACCCATTGAAGTCGATCCGACATTGTGAGGCATTTCGTTAAAACATTCTCAATTATTTCAGAAATTCTTTTTGAGAGTTAGCGCAGTTAGGGAGTCAAATGGATCGTCGGATAGACGAATCACCGTTACTTGGAGGAAAGAGCCTGAATGGCAATGGAATCCAGCGAATTCGTAATCCGTCGTCGATCAGCGTTCCGCCACAGCTACAGCTGACGTTGTCGTGGAAAGATCTCGTGGTCAACCACCATCCCACTCGCGGGATCATTGGACGACTGCGTGGGGAAAGACCGCCGCCAGTGAAGAGGATTCTGAAAGGAGGTAAGACAGTGCTCGTTACGTTTGAGTTTGTATCGTGTGATTGCTCAGTGGAAGAGCAGTGGTCTCGTTAGCGGGAGGTCCTGGGTTCGAAACCAATTTGATGTGTTTTCGCCTTTAGTTAAGGCATTAAACCTCATTACAAAGTCACATGGAGAGGGTTTAAAGCCGTCCGTCCTCTGGTGACATACTTACAAGCATTAACATGCTTTCTTAGAAATCGGGTACAACTAACGAACCAACTTCACCCCGTCCTTCCCGTCCACTCTCCTCCCTCCCTTATTCTCTCTCCCTTTCCTACTCACTCTTCCCTCACCCCCTCCTAATCCCGTGCCCCTCTTCTTTCTTGGATACTGGGGAGTGGTACAAAAGCCAGTAGGTTCGAACTCCGAGCTGCCTGCAAAGCAATATGTTAGAATATAAAAACAATATCGTAGATACGCTGCCATGTCCGTTTTAGGCAAATGCATGACTTTGGGTGATTTTATTTTCCTAGAATTAGAATTCATCCTTCGTGACCTCTCTATTTTAATCAATTTCCATATGTTTATGTGGTCTATATCTTCTTCCTTTCCTCCTTATTCTTCTTCTTCTTCTTCTTCTCTTTCTTCTTCTTCTTCTTCTTCTTCTTCCTCTTCCTCGTCTTCTTCTTCTTTTTCTCTTTCTACGTCTTCTTCTTCTTCTTCTTCTTCTTCCTCCTCCTCCTCATCTTCTTCTTTCTTTTGTTCTTCTTCTTCTCTTTCTACTTCTTCTTCTTTACAAAGTGTATCCTTCTTCTTTGAAGATTATCACACTGCCGAGTAGCGTGCAAGCAGTTAGTATAGCACAACCGGGCTAACATGTAACGGATTTAATATAATTTACAAGTCCATATGTTTCAAATAGGCCTTGTACGTAAAAAACGAAATATATCCATAAAAAGGATCAGGCGTCTCTCCTAATCTACCTTAGATTGCATACTTCATTATTTTCATATGCCCAAATGCATAAAGAGAAATCTCCCGCTCCTCTGGGCCTATCCGCCCGCCATTTGCGGCCATTAAAGGGCGTGTTCGAATTTAACCTTAGTAATTGCTGCAGCTTTAAAACGCACTTCCGGAATTTGTACTGGCATCAACCAGGATATATTTGAAGTTTGGGTTATACTTGGGCTTATAAGTACACGGTTATATTTTCAGTGCGTTTATCGTTTTATTATACCCGCATTTCTTATGCCTCTTATTGTGCCTCGTCATCGGGGTTGTAGGCCTACTCGTAAACAGAAATGTCGTCGGCTTATGAAGAAAACAAAAGCTGTAAAATGTTGTCATGCATTATGAATTGACAATTTGTCATTAATATACAATTGCTCTCATTTCCTTTATTTTAAAACAGGAATTGTGCATTGTGTTCAATTGGTTCATTCTTTGTTTTCTATCTTACTTCCCTAAGGCTTGCAGTCCTTCCCCTTTCTATAACCCCCTTTTCGCTGTATACTTAGCTGATGTAATTTTTCTTTTGCTTTGAAGCATCTTCAAAATCACATCCTCTGTTATTTTCTCTGTATTGCTACTCTAAAAGAAATGTTAAAAAAGTAAATTGTATTAAAACGCTGAGTATATGACAGACATTTTACCACGAGCAGTAACTCATCTGAAATTGTATAAGTTATTAAACATGTGTGCTATAATACAGGTAGATTCAGGATTGTAAAAGTTGGATTCCATTAATATAGCTACAAAGTCTCTGCATCAGCGACTGTGTGACTAAGCATATAGCTGATCGCTTTATCCATGTACAATTTGGTTGCTGTTCCTGTTATTGTTGTAGTTGTTGTAATTGTTGTTGTTGGTGGTGATGGTTATTTTGTTTGTTTGTGATACACTTGCTTTCATGATATTAGGAGACTGTGCATAATTATGCAGGGCATACATCAGGATTGAGTCATAATGTCGTTGATTTTTAATCACTCAAGCAAATTCTGCAGAGTTATTTTTCAGCTATCGAAAATAGGTTTTCTGACTTTCATTTATTCGTGAAATTAATGAAAGATTGTGTTCCGCTCTTAGTGGTAAAGTTGGTGTTGTATTTGTCCTTGCTAAATGTTTCTAGTATATTGTTGCCTTTTAGGAGTCTGGTAGTGTATTCTTACTTTCACTCGTCTATGTCTCTTCTCCTTATTTTCATGATACAACTTATTGGGCTAGATGTTTATTTTATAATCATGTTCCAAAGATATTTGTAGTTCTTTAGTGTGGAAACTGAAAATATAAAACACCAGTATAGTACACTAATTTTATTTATCTTGATTTTTCACGTACAGTTAGCGGTGTAGCAGACCCGGGCACACTGACGGCGCTGATGGGTAGCAGGTAAGACTTTTGGTGTTTTTTATTTATAGTTTTCTAACATCAATGTGATGAGCGATAATAATGGAATATATATCTAAGTATCTAAATACTTTTCCCCGCCCAACTTGAAATTTAATTTCTGTTAATCATTTTTATCATGTTTCTAGATAGCCTCTTTCTAAACGCCTCTCCCTCTCTCTCTTTATTTCTCCCTCTCCTTTTCCTATCACATGTTTACATTTCTCTTTATCCTCTCCCCTATAATCCAACCTCCTCGCCTATTTTGCTTCTTCCCTACCTCCTATCTTTTCTTCTATCTCTCTTTCCCCTTCGTCTCTTATTCCCTCTCATCCCATCCCCTCTCTTTTTCACTCTCTTCCTCCTGTCTTTTTGTACAAATATCTCCCCCTTCCTTTCCTATCATTTCTTCTCCTCCCCTCATTGTAACCCCCTCTCTCTCCTCATCCCTTCATTTCTGATATATCATAGTGGCGCCGGTAAGACCACGCTTCTGAATGTCCTCAACCAGCGAGGGTTGGCGGGTCTCGATGTCCAAGGTCAGGTGTACCTCAATGGAATACCAATCAGGGAATATGGAATGCAAACTAGCAAGCTCATAGGCTACGTGCAACAACACGACATAATCCCTAAGGAACTCACAGTCAGTGAATATCTCACATTCTGCGTAAGTATCTTTTTGGAAATTCTATGATAATAATGATAGCTATAATGATGATAATGATGATAATTAATAATAGTAATAACGATAATGATAATGATAATAATAATATTGATAATAATAATCATGTTAATAACAATGGTGATAATGTTTTTTTTTAAATTCTCTCCTCACTGCCTTCTCATTTACGACACTACTCAATATCTATTACGGATAGCATATTATTATAGATCATTAACGAAGAGTGCTTCTTTAGTATTGCGATCTTTTTTTGTTCACTACAAATTTCTTGAAATTGAAATTTCATCTATGTGTAACATTACCGATTTAGCCACTTTGAAACTCCTATTGAAATGTCTAGTGTTTGACCGATTTTGTTCTGGATTTTCACCAATCTACCTCTCTGATTTTTCCACTTTCCTTTAGAGCTACTTGCTATTTGAATAAATAATGTTTGATTTGCCTATAAGTCCTCAATTTTCTTCAGCACGCATTTCACGTGTTCCTGTTTTAGGACCTGTCCAGAATCCATTTGGGACAGCTAGCTTGTCATTTCTTACGCCAACTGTTTCTCTCACTTTTCTATGAACTAACAGGCTCAGCTTACGATGTCTAAGAATCTACCCGACGTAGCTAAGGTTGCCAAGGTTAATGAAATCATAGAAGAGGTATGGAATATCTTGATTTTTTTCGGATTTCTTATGTATTTTTTTGAATTGCCAAATAAATACTAATAACGATTATAAAAATATTTATCTCTTGAAACTCATTTTTTTTTCTCTTGTCTTTTGCCGTTATGTTTCAGTTCTCATTACGTAAGTGCGCAGACACAATGATTAAAGGAAAGCAGTGTATTTCAGGAGGAGAACGAAAGCGAGTCTCGGTAGCCACAAAGGTAAGTCATCTTTGCTCTTAGGGTCATTGGGTATAACCTCAGTCACAACGCTAAACCGACTCCATAACACGTAAAACCGACCAATTCTTCACCTTTAAACCTCTAATCTCAACGCTAAACCGAATCCGAACCGATCCTAAACCGACCAATTCGATTTCATTCGGTGGAAGGTAATGTTAGTTTCGGTCTGTTGTCGGTCACGTTGGTGTAATTGGGGCATTCGGATAAGTGGTAATTAATACATCATTCACAACACCAAACCGACTCCAAACTGATCCGAACCGACGATTCTCTCTTATTCGGGATAATGTAATTTTTGCTCAGTCTGGTGCCGGTCTCGGCGGTATGGCAGAGGTGTACGGATTACCGGGTTATACCTCTTTCACACCTTCAAACTGACTCCAAACCCATTCATAACCGACCGATTCTTGGCAATTAAGTGTAATGACACTTATGTTCGGTCAGTTGTTGGTCTGGGTTGATCTTACTGGTGTCACTGCATGTAATGTAATGCATAACTTTTTTCGTTCGGTCTGGTTTGGGGGTTGGCATCGGTTTTTATTGGTGTGACTACTACTAGTCACACCATCAAACCGACTCCAAACCGGTTCTTGGCCCTTAGGCATAGTGTATAATCAATTTTTGTTTGTCTGTAAGCAGTCCTGTGTCGGCCTAATCGGTGTGACTGTGGCATCAAGCTGAGCTCTTTCATTTTATGCGAAACAAATCATTCCGGTCATTTTAACAAAAAAGTAATAGGCCTAGTTAAATAACAATTTATTCAGTCAGGCATGTTTTGGATAAAGTTGGTAGTACATAACTTTTGTACGGTTTTCGCCAAAGGCAAAGTATTAACTCTGGTTCCATTTCAAGGTTCCTATTTGAAGGGGAAAAAACGAGATTATAGAAAAGTATTATTATAGTATGAATATGTCACATAAGATAGTATATTTGAAATATATTAGATTGATTCAACTCTAGTAATTAAAAACAAATCTCATATCTAAAAAAAAAAATTCCTTTAATATAACGTTTATTTAAAAAAATCTAAGTCAATTTTATAATCATTTCGGATGAATATCACCCACCCACTTTTATCACCTGATATCTAAAGTCATCCACAGATAACCCTAATAACCTCTTCATGTTACCATAGCTGTTTGCAGAGCCGAAGTTGCTGTTCCTGGATGAGCCGACCACAGGTCTTGATTCCTACATGGCTGCCCTTCTGGTAAACAATCTTAAGTCTCTGGCTGCACAGGGCTACAACATCATTTGCACCATCCACCAACCTTCAACTGAAGTCTTCAACCTGTTTGATCAGTAAGTTTATGGGTTTTGTTTTTGTTTTTGTGTGGGGGGGGGGGTTCCTATCAAGATGTCAATCATTTTGCTAATCTGGTTTTTTACAACCACGATCCGTTGGGGCTGTTGTTTTGGCAGGCATTATGGTTGGAGATCTTAAGGTTTAAGAAGAGGCTCATACAGACCTAACCGTTGCCGTATTGACGGATGATCCGCCATTCAAAGACATTGGGTGGTATATTGGATTTTAGAATTAAGATAAAAAGAAGGTGTGCAGTGCGTCCCACAAAAAACGAAACCGAAAATTATCGATGTTTTATCTTAACGCAATCACGATTATAATTGATAACAGACACAAGTCATATTTGTAAAGCTTAGATCCTCCTCTTTAATTTGATGCAACTCATATAATCCATATTTCACACATGAGTGAATAAAATGAATTTGAAGAGAGGAAAACAAAAAGTCATTTGGCGGACGGTATCTGAATTTCAAAGAGAAAATCACATTTCTAGAAAGTTGAGTTTCTGCCCTTTCATATGACACCTCAGTCAGGAAAAAAGAGCTAGGAATAAAAAAAGTTCTGTTTGTTTAAAGTAGTGCTTGCATTTCCATAATTTTATTAAACGAATTCGTTTTCACTGGCTGTCTGCTGTAGCAATAAACGAAGTTAACAAAAGACTTAACTCCGTTTCGTTGACAATCAGCCGTAGACGAAAGACTTCATGCATGGCTGAATGTTAATAAAACGGAGTTAAGTCTTTTGTCAATTCTGTTTGTTGCCACGGCAGGGAGCCAGTGAAAACGAATTCGTTTGATAAAATTATGGAAATGCAAGCACTACTTTAAACAATCAGTAAACAATCAGAACTTTGTCATTCCTTGCTCATTTTTCATGATTGAGGTGTCATATGAAAGGGCAGAAACTCACATTCTTAGAAATGTGATTTTCTCTTTGAAATTCGGATACCGCCCGCCAAATGACCTTTTGGTTCCCTCTCTTCATATTCATTTTAATCACTCATGCATGAACTAAGCATCATATTAGTTGCATCGGGTGAAAGAGGAGGATCTAAGCTTTACAAGTATGTGTCATTTATGAATTATAAATGTGACTAAGTTATGATAAAACATCGATAGTTCTCGGTTTCGTTTTTTCTGGGACGCACTATTATAGTGTGTGGTCGATATATCAGAAATCGACCGGCCGGCATACTTGATGCAATAGAATTGTTTGTTTCTTTGATTTTCATGTCTGCATGATTTAACATAATGATAAGTAATGTACAAATGAAGTTAGGTACATATTATTACCAAAAGTCAAAATACATATACAATGATTTCATAATGTAAATCAATTAAATAATTATAACTTCCAGAAAACACATAATTGACAAAATCATTTCCAAATTGAAAAATGCAGGAGACCACCAATTCTAAGCTAGAGCTTAAACGTGATGGCGGCCTCAGGTAAGGAACTGTACAAGATCGGCGATGTAGACATCATAAACTTAAGTAGGCTCCAATAACAATGGCGTACTTTAATATCTAAACTAGATTGCTTATTCTGGCTGATGGCACCATATCCTACAACGGGCCACGCGCTGAGAGTGTCTCCTACTTTAGCAGTATCGGCTACGACTGTCCCGACACCTACTCACCCGCGGATTACTTCATCGCACTCTTAGCCATCGTCCCCGGTCAAGAGGCAGGATGCCTCGACCGTGTCGGAGTAAGTCACTAGACCGTTCTTGAAGATTCGGCAGATTGCACGGGGTATATGAAGTTTCTGTAGTTGCTGAAAATGCAGCTGCCAGGGTTTTATCAGGGACATCTAAATTATATGATCATATTTCTCCTGTTCTCAAAAAGCTGCACTGGTTGCCAATCTGCAAGCGCATATAATTCAAGATCCTTCTCCTCACATGGAAGGTTGTAAATCGTTTGGCACCAAACTACTTACAAGACCTAGTTATGCCTTATACACCAGCTCGTAGTCTAAGATCATCACACCAGCATCTTCTAAAGATCCCCAAGACGCCAGTAGCCTGTGGTGAAATGGCCTTTTCAGCTGCAGCACCCTCTCTTTGGAATAATTTACCACTGAATTTGAGAATCATAACTTCCTTAGAGACCTTTAAATCCAAGCTGAAATCTTATCTTGTTTAACAATACCTGTCTTGGCACTATGACACTAACCCAAACTCTCTTATTCTTTCTATTTTCTTGTGCGCCTCCGGATAGCATTGTCTAGATAGACGGCGCTATATAAATGCCTATTATTATTAATATTATTATTAATAATTATTATTTATATTAATTATATTTTATCAATAAATGAAGACTTAGAATATGAGTGTGTATGGAAATTCGAGAAAAACATGTCCCAAATATGTCCCCTTCTTAAAGATTTGTCCCCTTCGAGACATTTAGACAATCAAAGTCAATGACAAAAAAAACGTCGTCGGTCTGACAGTGACAGTGACCGTCACGTTACTCCCAGAACCCCCCAAAACACATCCCCAGTCGGGTGGATTTAACCTCATCTAACCTTAGCTCTGAACTTTGTCAAGAGGACGTAGACTGTACATTACCAAACAAAATTGACAACATTTTCCATCGGGATATCGGTGTGAGATGCACCTCAAATCGGATCAGTTTTCCCCTTATAGCCAATGGACCAACTTTCGAGGGTCGGATGGGGTAGGGGGGGGGGGGGTCAAATCGATAAATCATGGACGATAAATATATTGTATATTGTATAGCAAAAGAAGTAGGTCAAGTCTAGAAGCGGAACATGAGACCTAATTGGTCTAGGTATTGACGCCTCGTAAAGTCCTCATTTGTATTCACTTTTTGTCATTGTAAACAGAGAATTGCGGAGGAATACAAGAAGTCATCCTATGAGACTGAGGCTCGGCGACGACTAGCCATCGATTTGAGCAGAAACGCCAAAGTCGAGGTAATACATGAAATCTGAAGTCTTCAATGTAAATTGTTTCTTTAACATAATCGCAAAGTATTCAAAAAGTCAAGCTAAGATAAGTTCAGTAGCCTTAATGCGTCACCTATTGAAATGTGCGAGCATGATATTTAGATAAGGCATAATCCCGGCAGAATATTTATATATGCAATACATTGGGGTGTTTAAATTAAAATTTGAATTGAGTTAATTTCTTGAAAGTCTTTGCGATTTCTTTCCCAAAGACTATGATCAATTCATTAATTCAATTTTCTCATTAACATGCCAATGAGGTTAGAGATTTTTAAAATTTTATTTGTTTTGGGATTCTAATGATCGAAAAAGCAAATCGTTTTCCGTATATACCATCTTGGGGCATTTCCAGATGTTGCGACATTTGATAATATCGAAAAGTCGTATATATTTCTTAGTACACGTCTCCATGCGTTAGTAGAGCAAATGGATTAAGGCCTGATCTTAATAACTGTTATTCAATCCATATTTTTTATATGGAATGAATCTTGCTATTAAGGTGCATGTTTATCAGGGATTTTTTATTAACCTATTGTCCTTAATGTGTCATTTTATTACGTTCAGGAAGCTTAAGTTCAAAGATTTTGTATGATTGTTTTTCTAAATTTATTTCCCACGGGTGCTGTTTTTCATAGGGATCCACCGGCTTGAAAATTAATCTTATGAATTGTGTATTATGATGTTAGGTAATATTATTTTTTTCGTTGAAGTCCATCGTTTTTGTTTCTTCTGTCCTTCTAATGACCTCTTCCTTAACTCATTTGTATGTTATTGGCGAATGACATGCCACTTCATTCTTTTTCTTCTCAATTCAGGATTTCGCCTATGATGATGAGGATATAGGGTATGTAACAGTAATATGAATCACTCGCATTTACTGCCCCTGAATTTGTAAACATAATTATTGTTCCGAATAAATATTTTTGTTGTCTAAAAATTCATTACACAAGTAAATTGCTATCCTTTCAGAAATAAATCATTTTTCAAATAAAAAGTGGGTATTCATACCTTATACATGATATTGCAGCGACCTCAAACATTTTAAATGCAATGAACTGCCAACTATTTATAATAATTATGTGACTAAAGTACACATTCGTTCAGAATTAGAGTATCTTACATGTACATATTTCTAAAATAAAACCTGTACACGCAAATGCTTCATGATCATGATAATCCCATTAACCATAGTAAACGTAATTAGAAGACTGCTTGATCATGTTTGAAATATCATTCTTATTTTCTTACATTTCGTTTTCGCTGGAGAGGGGGGGGGGGGGGGAGGGGTTGGTTCGAAAAACTCTTTTAATATTATATTGAACTGGTTGTATTATAAGTTCAACGACGATGGGGGGGGGGGGGGGGGTCATCAAAGGCGATTAGTTTCGACTTCTTGCAGGAGCTGACATTTGCAACAGACTTAAAATTGATAAACGATGGCGACAATAATTTGTTTAATTCCATTTTTGAGAGGAGAGGCTTTTTATCCGGACCACCCACTTTTTAATTACGCTAGTGTCATTCTAAAAATTGTCAACATTATATCCACTGTGTTTCCAGTTACCAAGCAGGATGGTTCAAACAGCTTTGGTATGTCATATGGCGAGGATTCATCTATCTAAAGAGGAATCCCGCCCTCTTGAAGACAAGATCTTTGTTCGTAGCGGTAAGAAATAAATCAAATTGTTGTGAAATTGTTGTGAAATTAGTATTTTTTGCTGTATTTACACAATCAATTCATTTTTGTTTCTCTTTTCTTCTTGTTATTAAAATTTTTTTTAGCAAGATTTTATTTAACGATTAATGAATCAATACTCTTATGTTTATTTTGAGGAGCAATTATGTGACTCGACCTCATATGAAATTTTAATTAAATCTTTAATTAAAATGTAGTATTATTATAAAAATTTCAAATCCTACGCAGAGTGGTATATTTTGACATTGAAATTTATTGTCGACCGAGGGAAATATAACGGCAACAATAACTTTATCAATCCAAGTGGATATCACACAATCTCTATCATTCGAATAGTTATCTGATTTATGATATCGGTCTTAAAAGATTAGTTTTATAATAGTAATAACTGATTTGTGTTACATATTCTTTGGGGCTAGTTCATGTGTCTTGTGATTCTGCAAATCTACTGGAACCCGAGCGGCATCTACAACCAGTCTCGAATATCTGCAGTCCGCGGTTTGCTTTATTTCTGTTGCGCAAACTTCACTTTCGTCAACGCGTCAAGGATTATGGTGGTAAGTGACACCCCGCCCCCATTTTGTATTCTCTATTTTTATATTCCCCTCTCTCTCTCTCTCCCGTCTCTCTCCCGTCTCTCTACCTCTGTATGTATTATCTATATCTTTCATTGAGGTAGGTACAATCATAAAGCGCACTTGATGAAACAAGATATTGAATGAAGGCATGTAACTCCCTAATCATCACATAGAAAAAGGGGGAAGCAGAAAGAAAAGAAAAAAGAAAGAAAAATCAAATCAAGAGTAAATTTTGTTTTGCCCTATTTAGTGGCGCATCCTGCAAAGGATGGAGCCGGTGTATGCCCCCCCCCCCTTGATTGAAGGCCAATAGAAAGTCAATATCACATGAGGATAATGTGGGTCATCTCCGCATCCTCCACGTCATCATTTGTCCGGGGGGGGGGGGGGGGTGCAAACATCATATGTATATATATATATATATATATATATATATATATTCATGATTTACCAAGTACATATTTTTTTTAACGGAAATAGAAACAACAAATAACGAGCAATAAGCGCTCTTGTTAACTTGTATCAATAATCGCGAGTTCATTGGAGATGATTTTTTGGAGATTGGTGAAAGCTATTGACTCTGATACGAGAGGTCCCGGATTGAATCCTTGCTCGGTGCTCGCATCCTTGAAGAAGGACTTGTCTCGCATTTTGTCCAACCCAACCCAGGTATATTAAATGGGTATATTGTAATGTAGGCTGGAAGAGCAGTATTACTGATGCAACACTGATGCAACATCCCTGGGTAAATAAGAAAAACGAGGCGCGATAGCTCACTTGGTAGAGCAGTGGTCTCGTAATCCGATGACCCGGATTCGAAACCAAGTCGATACGCTAGTGCCCTTTGGTAAGGCATCAATCCTCGTTACCAGGTTCCTAGGGGGGATTAAAGCCGTCGGTCCTCTAGTTGCTTACTAATAAGCATTTATGTTTTCTTAGCATTCAGGTAAAATAACCACCATTAAACTAAACTAAACTGTCCCCCCCCCCCTCTATTTTTTTTCTATCAGGTTCTGCCTCATGAATTGCCTCTGATGATTCGCGAGCACTTGGATGGCATGTATTCCTTGAGCGCCTATTTCCTCGGAACATTCATATCTCAGGTAAGCAAGCTCTACATATTGAGTGCTATTGTGCACCATTATAACAAGGTTACTCGATTTTAAAGCTCATAATTTTTAGGAACAGATAAACGGTCGAGACATGGAAAACGAAAATTAAAAAACTTTATGATTAGTGATTTAATTGTTGGTAATACAATTTGTTTAGTTAATCTTTGTCAGATTTCTTTTCGTAATTTTCACGAGTATGTGTCTCGAAGTTTTCTATTTCCCCTTTTAAAATATTTTTATAATCTAAGATAATAATTTTGTAATAAACCAAATAGCATCATATAGTCCGATGTCTATAAAGAGTCATATCATTTTGCTGACTTGTGTATATACGTAGATTTAAGTACGGAATACTCAATTTAGTTTCTCATCGATGGTATGCATAAATCATTGAAGTAACGATGAAAGGTTTAAGTTGAGTCGTGTTCATGTGATTAAGTTTAACTGAAAATTTATTTCGAAGCCATTGGGACAGATTGATTCTGTAGCAGGCCTACATAAGAAATGTAGACATGAAATAGACACAGTGATGCTTAATAAAAACCTGCTCGCACTGCAAACGGAGCTATGGGACTATATAGTTATGTAGCATGAAAGTTTGGTCCAAACTATCCAGACTTGTTTTCTTTATATTTCGAATATAAGGGTTTTGGAAGAACAATCCTTTTCAGGGGACATTCCTTTAATGATATTCGTCCGAACCGCATTGAACATAACGAGAGAGTTCAGAAGTTATTCCTCACTTTTATCACCGTCTCTTTTGCATCTGCATGAGTGCAATCAAAATTTAACAGGAACAATCAATATATATAAATAACACTTAAGCAACAACTTAAGAATTATCAGCCTAAGGCACTTTCAATATCTTTGTGCGTCACCTACTGAATGTGTGAACATGACAATGACGTATTATGTCACCCGAATATGATTTCCATGGGACATACATAGGGCATATAAACTGCCCTTGAGTTGAATTTTTTCTTAACGATTGTATCGTGTTGAATTGAAGAACATTTTATTTAATAAGAAATTAATATTCATGCTCTTCTTCTGCTTCTTCTTCAGTGTTCCATTGGTATAACATTGATGGTCTTATCTGTGACGTTAGTGTATTTCCTTGGTGGCCTGGAGGCCCGTGTCGATACGTTCTTCACCTGTCTTCTTGTCCTCATGTTCTCATACCTCATCAACGTCGGTTTCGGTGCGTTCACACCAACTTTTGTTTAAATCGGATTGAAGTGAATTTGCGAGAAAAAGAATCATTAAAATGCAAATTTTCTTTCTTTTTGTCCGTTCACACTTACGTTTTGTTTGATTTGATTTAGGTGAACTTACGGAATAGTCACTGTCATGTAAACGTGATTGTAAATTGTTGTTGTGTGAGTGGGGGGTGTTCACACTTACTTTTGGTTGAATTAGATTTGATTAAATTCATTAAAATAGTCACCAAGATGGAAAACCTTGTTGTTTGTTATACTGTTCTTTAACCCATTTCCTAGTGGAACCGGGTGGCTCCTGTATTAAGCCTATGTGAATGTGAGAATCCAGTAGTCAACGGGTTAACACTTACTTTTGTTCAAATTGGATTTCATATGAAACAGTGATTGAAATGCAAACGTCAAGCTTATGTCTGTTTATAACCCCCCAAAATATAAAACTCATATAATACATAATGTTTAAAAAAAAACATACGTTTTCAATATTTAGCAAAGTGTACCTTGAGTCACTTTAATTCAGTACTGAAATTATTGAATTTCTGTATTTCCCGTCGGCGAAGTGATCGAAATCATTTATCAATTTTTATTCAAATAACCTGTTTTCAAATTTAAAACATGTTATGGGCCAGCTAATTGTGCTGAGCAAGTCTTGCATTCTTAGAAATCGCCGATTTAATTTAATCAGATTTTATCATATCCTTTTTAATTCACAGTTGCAATGCAGTCGGTTATTTGGGAGAAACCTCACCGAGCAGTCACTCTAACAACCCCTCAGATCTTCTTCATGAATATCCTCGGTGGGTTCTACATCAACCCGACGTAAGTTAATTCACTGGCATAGCCTACGTCTACTCATGGGGGGGGGGGGGGGGTGGTGAGTGGGGGTACTGAAGCGATAGAGGGCGATAGATAGATAGCGCTGCTTGGTGGCGAACATCAGTGTCGTTGAAAAAAGAGAGTTTGGCCAATTCGGTTCGAGATGGGCTCAATATGGCAAAGACTGGGCAAAGAACAAAACAAAAGGATATAAGCCGTGTTGTGACCAGCTCTGGATATAGGTAATTTTGGCTAACACCATTGGTTTTCTGTTATATTAAACGAAGAATAATTTCTGTTATAGTGACAGATAATCAATAAATTGAATTCATTTTAGTTTTACAATTTTTAAATGAAATGGGAATTAAGGCTACTGAATATCAGTAGGAAGAGTGCAGGAGACAGTCCAGGCATTTTCTTTTCGCCTCCTCTTTTCCTTCACCCTTTCACCAAAACAAATCTCACTTTTTGAATTAAAATATTTCAGCCATTTCACTTGGGTTATGCAAATTTTGGAGCGCGAATATGGAATTATTTTATTTCTTTAATCTCTTTTTAAAATTTTGTATTTGTTATTTCTCACACTGCATACAATTGGTTCTTTCTAGGTCTATCCCGGTGTACATCAAACCTTTCCAGTACCTGGACTGGTTACCTTGGGCCTATGAAATTCTGAACATCAACCAGTGGAAGAATGTCGACGATATCGGTTAGTAGAAACCTGCAAATTACAGATTTAACAATTAAACCATCCAATCGCAGAGGTCTCGTGGCCTAGTGACAAGGGACGGTGGATTGCAAGGTACATGGTTGAAGTGCTAGCCATTTCAATAGCGTTGCTGCTACTTACTTCATTCACTGAGACATTATTCTGATTTTGCCTTCCGTAAGTCAGTATACCTGGAAGGGTTTTCCATGAAAGGCACCGTTGCCTGAACGATTGCCGGAGCTAAAGACAAAGAAAGTATAGTAATAGGGACATTGGAAGATGTACTGAAGCAGTACTTTACCATATAGCTCCCTTTAGTCTTATTTGACAACGCCCCCAGAGTCCAGCAGCCTATAAACATGTTAAAATCGTTAAAAATTCATTTTTTGTTTAAACGAAAAGTGCATCCACCCCGACGTACGTTATCACTAGCTCTTTCATTGGAACCCTCATGTCCCATTGACTTTTGAAAGTTTACCCACCGTAATTTGGTCAAAATAGGTCGCCAGCTCGCCATTGCCTATATAACACATGTACAACAAATACAAACTTTGGACGCAATTTACCACTCGATTGTCCCACCCCCCCCCCCCCACTCAGTGTTATTTAGGGTACGCATATTCTTGTTCCCTCTTTTTGAAAGCAACCCCTATCTGAGGACTGCCATCTTTTCCGAACCCCCCTTTCGCGGGCCTTTCGCGGGCTTTTCCTGCGTTGGAGACCCCCCGAAATTCGGAAAAAAGCTCAATGTACCCCCCTAAATTCGGAAAAATGCTCAATCTACCCCCCCCCCCTAAATTCGAATAATTTCTCAGGAGTCCAAAGAGATGAGAGAAAAAAGAAAAAAAACACCCCCTTTTTTTTTTTTTACAATTCTCGGGCCGGACTTTGTCGCACGAAAAGTACCCCTTTACCGGACATTTTGGTAACACGCATGCGGTCATTCCGACTCCGGAGTGGGGGGGGGGGGGGGCGGGTCGATTATAAGGTAATAAGTTAAGCAAACCAAGTATAAGAAGCATGAATTATCATAGATCATTCTGATTTGTTCATTATGACCATTTTCAGCCAACCCCCACCGTTATTTTTCCATTTAGTATAGGCAAGCATTTTGCCGAGGTAAGCAAAACATGAATATTCATGAACACCATGGACTATTTGATTATTAACAGAGGGTTGCAATTGTGCACCACATCAAACTCCCCTACTTTCAGTCAAGTATTTCATTGTGTTATGTAGTTTGGTAGGTTTATTTTACTAACTGTTTAATTATCAGATATAAATGATAGTTTAAAGATATGGAAAATATTCTTGTATTTTATATTTAGCAAAGTAATCTCACATAAAAAAAATCACTATCAAGTTTGTGCTGGCGAAAATGAGACAACCGGGGTATATTTCGCAACTGCGGTCCTCACATATACCCCTACTTGCTTCCAAATTCGAGGTAAACTCACAACTCCCTCGAGCAGATGCCTTGCAACCGCTGCGTGATGTGTTGATGTGTACTGCGACAGGCGCCTCTGCAGACCACCGGAAGTAGACCGTGCGATACTCGCAAAAAGACCTTGCGATGTTGTTTTCAAAGAGCGGTCATGACGAAAGCATGTGTGAGGTGTATTTATCAAAATCGTAGCCTCAATCAGAAAAAAGTTGGACATGTCCAACATTTGCTTTGCGTGCTTTTGCGCGAGTAAAATAAACGTGCAGACCGTGCGTCCGACGTTCGGGTAGACTGTAGGGCAAGTCACTATATTGTGTTGTTTCGTAGTCCCATCAGTGGCAGTCGACCAAACCAGTATGAAAATATAAAGAAAATTATTACAAACATATTTACCGTTTGTTCTCCTCATTTTCTTTACGGTTTTTCGTGAAAACTAATTAAAGATAATAATTATGTTTCCTCCTAATAATCGTGGGTAATATCCCGGGAAATCGGAGGTGTGTCCAATTCAACCAATCACGAGGCGGGATTTTCCCTACGTCATTGTCCTCGTTCGCTACATAAAAACATCTAACAACCATAACGGAGAATGACACCGATGAAGTTTCGTCACCGATACAGAGATAAAGAGGTGTTTTATTCACTTCCCGACTGTGGATGATGTCGTTTTGAAAGAATTTACAGACACAAAATGGTCCAAAGCTTTTGCTTCTGCTGAGATTTTGAAAAATACGGACGGAGAAAAGAGCAAAATTGCGACGGATTTCCTTGCCAATGTCGCCCGTATTGAACCGTATACAGCGACAGTGGCAGTGGTGCATTGCAAATGACAATGTTGTAATTTGCGCTGCACTGGTACTGTCGCTGTATGTATACGGTTCAATACCGGCGACATTGGCAAGGAAATCCGTCGCAATTTTACACTTTTCTCCGTAAAATACCTCGAGATTCTAACAAGACTGAATTTGAAGGTGAGTTTCAATTTCTTTGTTTGCAATAACCATGATAACCCAGCAAAAATTAAGGCCCTGCCTTTGACTTTGATCTAGATCTAGCCTCATTAAAAAAAAAAACAATTAGAGAATAGAGTCTAGAATCTAGACCCTCTAGACTCTAGGCTCTAGGCTCTAGGCCTAGATTTAGGCCCTTCATTCATGCATGATGGAGCTTGAATGATGAAGTTTGTCAGTTGATTGAATAGTTTACAATGCCTCTGTGAGTTGACATCAATTTTGTTTGTTATGTCATTGATGTAATCATGTACGTACATGTAGACCCTCCTTAGCTGTAAATTATAATAGGCCTAATGGAAACGAAAAAAATGTCGAACAAGTTGGACGCATTGAGCCAGGCTTTACTTAACTTTAGACATGCCTTCCTAGTTAGTTTAACTTATTGTCCTGGTCAAAACAGCATTATTTTAAACTGGTTTATATTTTAATGCTGGGATGTGGTGTGTTGTTTACATTTTTTGTAATCAGTGCATGAAGTCATTATAGTTGCACACTAGGGATCAAAATACAAAGCCTATTTAGACAAGGGGCACTTTTTCTAACATGAAGATAGACATGGCGGCTGTCAAGCTATCAGTATCAACAATTTTAATTTTAAAATAGAAAAGAAGGCGAAGCTATTGCCAATTTTCGAAATGACTTATAGACTAATATGAATTTTTGTTTTTGAAACATTTAAAGAATTTTCAAAAGACGCCAAAGCTATCTGAAATTTTTGAAATGACAGCGAAGCTATCACCAATTTTTGATATGAGCTTTGTTTTTGACCTAGTGTTTTATATTCTTTTTCCCCCAGATCTGATATCCCTTCACAACCTAAGAAGCTGTGTAGGAGTCTACAATCTCGGCGCTCATCTGCCAGCTTCGATTTGTTGGACCTATTTGAGACCATCAGCATAAAATCTACGCGTTCATATTGAGCACTAAATGTATGCAATATTTTTTGCTGTTTATCAGCAGATTTTTCAACATTAACTGGTTCTATTGATAACAACAAATATATATGATAAAATTAAAATGAACAAAGGCAAGATCATTGTGAATCTTTTTCTCTGATATTTCTTATTCAATTTGGGGATTAAAAAAAAAGATTTTTATATCCCTATGGTTCCTTTGTAAATTATGTACAAAATAACCAACCTTTCATGAATAGACATATACAAATGTATGGGTCGACTGGGGTGTTTTACATATACATTATGTGCACCTGTAATATAAGAATATACTAAATATATGTACAGATATAATTTCAGAGCTGGAAAAATGTTTTTTTTAGATGCCAAAATTAATCTCCCAAGGTTTGATGGTTACAAACTGTTCCAATTTTTATTTCATCAAGAGGCAAACATTTTCCTTCAAATGTCAAGGAAATGATGTCCTACAGTTCCCTATTTATTCCAGACTTGATAATTATATTGATTAATTGATAAGAATTGTATCAAGGAAAGCAAAATGAATTATTTTGCTAACAGTAATATTACAGGTAATCACTTACAGTAATGTACTATTGTACTTGCATTGCATGCTCATTTGTTTCATAATAATAATAATAATATGGACATTTATTATTTATTATGCATACATGTATTTTGCCATGTTGAAGCATTGCCAAGATTTATAGTCAAATATAAAACTTTATTACGTTCAAATATATGGGTCGTTTCAAACTTTCCATCACACTCTTTGGACACTTGTTGTAATCGAAATATGTAAAATTTATGAATTCCTCAACAGTAACAGCTTTTTGGCAATTTTTCTATCAACATATTTTAGGACATTTTCTTTGAACCAAAAAAAAGACAACAAATGACTAGACACATCTTATCAATGTTTCATAATTTATTTCAATTTCATCAATATTTATGTAAAAACTGTTAACAATCTTTGCAGTTCAAGTTAAATTGCATTTGTAAATTACAACATACATGTACCATAGTTCTGATTTCACTGGCAGTGGCAAGTACCGGTATTAGAAAAAGTACCCGGTAATAAGCTACTTGTAGATAAATGTCATTGACAAAATGGTAGTATGGTAATACATTTTACGTAATGAATGAAATCAAATTAAACAGAGAAGAATATAATTTATTTGGCAGTTTTGGTATGAATTTGTTGTTAGGTTTCTCTTTGAAATTTGTATTGTTCTGAACTGATGCTATATGCAGACCATGAGCAGTGTTGCTAGTACTACCTAGTATTAGTATTAACAAAGTTTTGAACAGCAATATATTTTTCGGGGAAGTGGAAAATAAACTAAAAGCAACAATATTGATGATTTGATTGGAAGGAGTTTGCACAGTTGATGAAACTCAATAAGACATGTTGAATATAATAAGGTAACATATGATGAAGGAGAGTGGAAGAGTAAGGAGAAAACAACAGGGGAAGAAAAAGAGATTTTTAAGAGGAGACATGAGAACAAAAAACGTGTGTGATGAGAGAGAGAGAGAGAGAGAGAAATAGAGAAAAAGGAAGAGTTAAATGAGTGACATGAATATACAAACAGATGGTAACTTAAACAAGATGCAAGAAATTACATAACTTGGGCTTAACAAAACTCGTCTTGATGACGTGCTGAAAAAAAAAAAAAAACACATGGAAAATTGCAATTAGTGTTTTCAAGTTCACCAACAGCATAAATATAAATTAATTGCGCAGAAAAATCACACCCGAACAGTATCATAGAGGTCCCAAATAAATTTTTTGCAAAAAATAATCAAGAAATAGCAAATTTGAATGCCTTTTGAATCAGCAAAATGGCTATTTTACCAGAGTTGGCGCTAGTCTTTTTCAAGGAAATCTTGTTAAAATCCAATAAAACTAATTAGCGGATTAAATTAATTGCGCAGAAAAATCACACCTGAACAGTCTCATAGAGGTCTGAAATAAACATTTTGCAAAAAAGAATCAAGAAATAGCAACTTTGAATCAGCAAAATGGACTATTTACCATAGTTGGCGCTAGTCTTTTTCAAGGAAATCTTGTTAAAATCCAATTAAACTAATTAGCATATTATCTCATCAACGGGTGTACGAAATTTGGAGAACAAGGTGTTTTCTCATCAGCAACTTCATCACAATCATTTGATATAGTTAGTTTTCTCTGCCAAAGATGGGACTACGAAACTTTTTTTTTAGATGGTTAACTGGCCCTTGCCCCACAGTCTAGGGTTTCCTGCACAATTAAATCAAGCGTAGCCAAGATGCAGAGGAGGGGTGCACGGCCAGTTGTTACAATGGCTTTAGTTATGCACAGGAAGCAGCGGGAATGTAGGCCTAATGACGTTCTTGTATATTAGTGTGGTACGGTATGTCACTGTAACAGCTCCCGTAGGAATTTTGTGCCAAATTTGATTTTTTTTTTTTTGTTGCATTTTTGGATTCATTGGGGTCCAAGCTATCAGAAATTGATGGGGTTCAAATTTTCCCGAAGACACCAAATTTCCCTATTGCCAATATGGACCCCCAGGAAATGAAGGAGGGGTCTGAAAATTTGAACCCCATCATTTTTGGCCAATTGGGACCCTTTTGAAGCCAGAACAGCTCCAAAAAAAAAAATCAACTTTGGCAAAAAAATCCTACGGGATTACATACCATACCGCACTATATGGCTCAGAAACGTTATAATCAAACTTTTATCTATCGTGCTTTTTTTTGTTGTTCTAGAGTGTGAATGGTCTAACCCATCAGCATGTTCAACCACGGGCGAAGACGTCATATACAGATACGGATTTTCACCAGTAAGTAAATCCTCGTTTTTTATATGACATTTCGATAATAATAAAAGTAAAAGCGATTCATAGAAAAAAACCCACTTTGTTTGCAACATGAAACGCTATTGACTATTTTGTTTCACATGTTGTAGTGTTCATTATAATAATAATATCTGACGATAAATACAGTTGAGTATATTTATGGGATTATCTTTCTTTTTTTTTGGTGGTATTTTTACTCTTTATTTTCTCTCTTCACGGTATTATAGTTATAGTAAATTTGAAAAAAACGAATGGCAGAATCGTACATGAAACCTTAACATTTTCCTTGACCACGCTCAGAACGCGGGAGGGCCCATGGTCCTAAATTTGATTTCTTCTTTGAATTCACCCCCTCTCTCTCTCTCTACCCCCCCCCCCCCCGTCGCTCCCTCTCTTTCTGTCTATGTATTTCCCTCTCGCTTCTATCTCTCTCGATTCTGGCTCTCTATGCTTTTTTTCTGTCTGTCTGTCTCTGTCTGTCTCCCTCTTTTAATGGTCAATGGTTGTCCCTAATTTTACTTCTGCCCCATCCTCTATTAAATTACCCTTCTCCGATATTACCACTCTTTACCCCCATCCCTTACCCGATTACAGTCGAACCAGACTGTGGACTACATCATCCTCTGCAGCCAACTGGTTTTCTACCACTCCCTAACGCTCATCATTCTCAAACTCAAGATGAAGTACAAGTGGTCGGGCTAAAAGGAACAGTGCTACACAGAAGACGACAAACTATGGTCGCTGACCAGTACTGTTAGTCTTAATCAGTTCATGAATTATATTGATGTTAATTTCAATATTATATGTATTTCTCATTATTTATGAAATTCAGTCTATGTATAACTTAGACAAAATAGGTTACTATTAAGTTCAGTAGTATTTGCATTATTCACTTCATAATATCTTATCCGGACATCATTTTAGCTCGAATTAAAAAACAATCTATTTTGTTTTTCCAGCCGCATTTTGGCTCTTATAAAGATTCAATAAGAATAATAATTTTACCTATAGAATAATACATGCTGTTATATTATGAATTTATTTCTAATATTTATGTAACGCCTTCATGAAGCCTTGTTCAGATATGACGAGGCGAATTCGCGTTTTTTCCCCTTCTTTTTGTACACACTCTCTCTCTCTCTGATGATAACGAAAAGTGTTATACGTTTCACATGTTTGTCTCTTAAACACAGAGCTTGGTGAATGCGCGGAGCGTGTGTGTGTATATTGGATTTTTTTTTACAGACGTGTAACAATCAGAAAGACGTGACTCGATTTCTAACCTGCGTCCTCAGCTGAATCATTTTGTAACTTCCATTGTTAGCTGGATTACAGGCGCACGCCACAACGCCTAGTTAACCTGTTGACTACTGAATTATCTAATTCCCATAGACTTAACACAGGGACCACCAGGTTCCAGTAAGCAATGGGTTAACGCAGTTGTTGCTCATTCTTTAGCAAAAACCGCGGTGGCTTTTTTTAAAAATATTTTTTTACATTGGTTTACCGCGTCATATCTGAACAAGCCTTAATATTTTGCAACTATGTAATTTTGCATTGGCTAAATATATTTAATTGTTAATCTTTCACAATTCAGCCACTGGCTGCCTTTAAAGGATAATAAAACCTTCAATCAATCAATCAGTCATTCAAGTCAAATTTATTTTTTACAGTACGTCAGATATCACTTCTTATATGTTAATATATATCTGATCATTGATTTTAGTCGATAGACCTTCTATATCGAGCTTTTATCGGACCAAAATATGAAGTGGAAAGACACAACTAACGACAATCTATGTTCAGAAACCTATAATACTTGGTGACGTATGCGGCACCAAATACCAAATACCTTGGACTGGCCCAATTCGTATAATGCTATCCACATGATAAAATGACAATATAAAACTGGACGAAAAAATAATGTATATATTAAAGGTAAAGACCAGTAATGATCATGCGATTGCATTGAGAAAGAAACGTTGTGGAATCAATCAGAAAAGGTTGATCATCTAGCATCTAGCATCTGCAAGGTTCTGTAATCATCAAAATGATAAGAAATTTGGCCCATTCTTTGTAAAGTTACAAGCACTATACACAGAAAGATGTATATGGGACTACCCTATATCTCTCACAGACCATGAGAGAAACAACTTTACCAAATATATGAATTAGTAGGCGGTTTCCCGGCAAATTTTTTATCAACATGTATAAGTCAAAACATATTCTTTCACATGATTCGTAATGAGAGCTTCCATTTCATTTTTTGAAATTGGGGCGTTTCCAATACTGGTCTTTACCTTTAATAATGGCCTCATTCAAATTGTATCTCGACTAATTCATACAAAAGTTATGCATGCCTCCTTTTTTTTATGTTCGTTGCCTTCTCAAGAATATTATGAATACATATCATTACATTATCGTAAAGAAATTATTTATCAATATTAAAGTTTGAAACTTATGCCATGGTACCATTTGAATGTGAAAATTACAAAACAGAGAATTACAAAGGGATTTAAAAAAAAACTATGAATTAACTGCCTATCGTTGATCATGTTGTAGTTAAGCCTATCTGCACTAGTTTGGCAAGGAGGGATAAGACCCCCCCCCCCCTCCTGCGTGGTCACTGACAGGTGGTTATCTCATCAAATCAGCTCTCAATTAACATAAGAAAAAGGGGACCGTGGGAGGACAGCGGGTACCGCGGCGATGTTTGCTATACAGAAGGCGCAAGTAGCTACAAGCAGTGCAGTCCCACTTTAAGGAAACCATGTAGTGTAATAATTGCAGAATATTCAGATTAGTTAAATTAGTTCTGCCAATTTTTCAGGCCTCTTTCCCCTCACTCCTCCCTTGCGAAAGGGTTCCATCCCTTTCTTATCGATTTCTGTCTATTCTAGTGTAAATGTCATAACGAGTCTGCCGGGCCTTACTAATTGAAGTTATGAAATGAAATGTTACAAAATATAAATTATATAAAGTTTTAATTTGATGTTGCAAATGTACCCTGATTTGCCTATACTTGCTTTTCAATATTATAGTCGATACAATTCTAAATCATCATATTTATAAGATATAGATTTACAGAATTTAATTTTTCGAAATCTTTCAAATATAAAAACCTTCACATAATGACAAAACCTAGAATTGAAGATATATAGTGCTCCAAGTGACAATATTTTCATTCCGCTTACATTAACACAATTCTGTGAATAAATAAAGAAAATTAATTTCTAACTTGAATTATGTTTTCTGTTTTCTGTTTATAATTGGATTTATTTCGTGAACTCATTCTGCCCAGAAATTATGGTAAACTTTTACGGACAAAGAACAGATCGATTGACACTTGGCAATCAATAAACAAGTGGTCCATTTAAAATGGTTTACTAAATCCACATTCATGGGTACAAGCCACATATAAAGATAAATGGTGATACAGGTACACAAACCAAAACAATTATGCTGTGCAAACATCAAAAACATGTAAAATATATCAAAACATGTTTAAAAAACAAAACATTACAAACGCAGTTACAGTTCATGGAGTTCATGACCAAATCGGTGAGCAATGCTGTAAATGAATGCATAGAAGAAAATGCCAAAGACACGAAAAAACAAAAGGGTAAACCCCGACTTCATACATTCTAGTGCATGGAGATATAATTTGGTCATAAAGAGTACACCCTCTTTACCTTCACAAGAATGAGTTTTTGTTTATGGCATTGTGATAAAGGCATTGTGATAATGGCATTGTGATAAAGGGGCGCATTTCATAGCCCGTTGTAATTATCTTTTAAGATTTGAAAGTCCCTCTTCAGCTCTGCGTCCTCCAAGTCACGCCAAAAGCCGTACTTCTCTCCAAAACGAAACGATGTCAGAATACCAGTTTCCACACCGCGTTTAGTGTCCGAAAGAGCCAGTAACTCAATCAGCGCGACCCAGTCGGCCATCTCGAAGCTTCTAATGCTGGGGCCAAAAGAACAGAGATTGGACAAACTGGTGTCGTTTTCTTGAGGTCGAATATGCTCGTTTCGACCCGTCTCGAAGCAACCTCTTTTCCAGCAAGATGGTCTCGCTATGTTGAATAGGTTTGAAAAAGCGAAAGTGAGTGACACCCTCACTCCATCACCCCTTATCCTTTCCTGGGTCTTCAGATCTTCCTTGATCTTGCCGATCGAGTTGCAGCATTCGTACCCTGGTTTACTGCACGGTGAGTAGTTGCAGAAGATCTTGACGAAACGTATCCGTGGGATGTTGATTCTAAGGAATTCTATGATGCCATGTTCGGCATGGAAGAAGGGTGTGTTCTGCCTGATGAGAAGTGCCTTTCTCCAATTCATGAAAGTCACAAGACAGACACAAACAACGGGTTTCGACCAGTTGACTCTCATATTTCCGACGGTGTGAAGTCCGCTCTCGACGAATATTTTCAAAATGTCCGCGCCGTTTAGGTCTGTATTGCTGATGTATTCCATCTCGTGTTTGGCAAATCAACTTTGTAGCCGGTTACGCTCTTTATCCTGATGAAGAAATGCACAAGTACACCAAATAAACTTAATGTCTTATCAGCTTAATGTCTAGCACAAACCCTTCAGTTTGATTTTAATCTCTTTTATCATTTAGTGTGATTTAATTTTGTTTGATTTAATTATATCAGTGCAATTATATCAATTTATGTGAACTGTTTCGTTTAATGGATAAATATAATTACATGCCCTGGCATTATTAATTTGACGCATTTTAACCATGCTTGAATTTTATGTAGTCGTCTTTTCAAACTGAAACATGTTCTTAACGTTCTGTGAATGTTTGTATTTATTGTTGTTGTAATTGTTACCATGTACTTAGTCACTTGCCTACATGGCTCCCTTGCGGCTCTGAAGTGTCTAGCCTACCCTGTATTTTAGAAAAGACTGAATAAATAAGTTAATAAATAAATATCAATAAATAAACTAAACTAACGTGTTACTATAGTTATATATATTTGCTCTCCCCTCCCAAATCAATTTTTTTTTTTTTTTTAAACGCAAGAAAAGCAACATAGGATCATTAAATCCTCTTGGTTGCAACACTACTTCAGTATTTGTCATTCGACGATTTTGCCAGTGTCATGAGTGCGTGTAAACACTTGCAAAGATCAATGTTCGAAAAGATAGGCAACCGAGATGGCCGACTTGTTTAAGCAACACTACCCATACATATACACAGGCCCGTACGCAGGGGGGGGGTTACCCCCCCCCTTTGGTAATTTTATGTATGTAAACCCTCCTAAAAAAAAAAACCTAAACCCCCCCCCTTTTTATTTTTTTTAATTTTTTTTTTATAAAAAATAAATAAATAAATTTAAAAAAAAATGTCCTCTACCCCCCCCACCCCCCCCCCCCCCCGCTTATTCAGCGGTCGGCTGAGTCGTTGCGAAATTTTGGGGACCAAAAAAAAAAAAAAGTGTCCTCTTACCCCCCCCCCCCCCCCCCCCCCCCCCCGCTTATTCAGCGGCTGACTCTGAGTCGTTGCGAATTTTCGGACCGATTTATAAATGTTAACCCCCCCCCCCCCCCCCCCCTTGAAAAAATCCTGCGTACGCGCCTGCATATACATGACCGTGAAAGTTATATCAAATAGGCATGGTGTTCATAACAAAGACGGGCAACCGTTCACAGTTTCCCTGAAGTTGACGATCTATGAAGAAATCGGACTTAAGTCAGTCTCCAGAGGATTTCCGGTGGAAAAAAATTGTGATAATTTCTTTCCTACCGCCGCCCCCCCCCCCCCACTATTTTTGTAAAATAAAAAGTAAATAAAGGCTCTACAAGAATCATTTGGCAAAGAAAATAATTACATTGCGATTTGTCCACGAAACAAATTAATTGCATTCCCAAATTCGAATTTAGTTTTGGGTGAAGAAAGGAGTCGGCTGGGGAACCAATTTGTATTCACACTACAGCTTTTTATACAAATTAAATATTAAGATGAAGAAAATAACTTACCAATTCCTGACAACGCACGGTGATTCTTAAATCTTAATTGTTGACGAGAGGAGTCATTTTGATACAAAAGGAAAAAATATCTCCAGAATGACAACTTAATAAAACAGTGGGTGATTAGAGAGGAAATGATCGGGTGAAAGCACTAAAACTTATTCAGGTCCACCGTGTTTGCATATTTAAACAATCGTTATGCGGTGGGGAATTCCAACTTCCATAATATAGATTTACTCACCAAACATTAAGGTAGTCGTGTTTCGAGTCGTTTATTGTCAAGGAAAATGTGATGTAGTATATTATTTCTATTTTTACTGCATTTCAATTTCTAAACAAGGTAGAAGACAAAAATAGGTTTCTTTCTTGGTTTATATTTGTTAATTCATATTGTTGTAAGTAAATCGTGTTTTTATCGTGAATTAAGAACAGAGGCACGGACACAACCGATTTGCACCAGGGCTCCAAGTCTACGAATTGTTGCAAAATCCGATAGAGTCACTCGTCCAACGAGTCTCGTCTTTCGCAATTTTCGACAGCTGTATGTTTAGATGTGTAATAGCTGTATGGATTTGTAGGCTCGACCCATCATCCTGTGTTATAATAATTTCTTCCTGTGATAACTTTTCATGTGTTTAATGAATATATGTGTATTATGAAAGAACAAAACGCGATGGTTCGGTGGTAGATAGGAAATCTCGAAGCCAGGAGGCCCGGGTTGAAGTCGATGCGCTAGTGCCTTTAGTAAGGCGTCTATTCGAATTACCGGGTTCCTCGGAGGGGAATTAAGCCGTCGGTCCTCTGGCTGCTTACTATCGAGCATACACATTATTTCTTAGCAAGCTATACAAACCATCAAACATACACAAAAGGAAGTACCGTAAGATAAAAGAAAATGTTTTTGTTAAGGGGGGAGTGAAGGCGTATTCCCCTTCAGTGGCGGATCCA